TATTTTTATTTTTTAAATTTATTTTTTAATTAGGACATAGTTGATTGGACATATCTCTGGGGTACAGCATTAGAATATCAATACCTGTGTGCAGTATGTGATGTTCAAATCAGAATAATTAGTATATTCACTATACAAAGCATTGATTTTCACGGCCCTTTACCAATTCATCTCTTTCCCCCTTCCTCCCCCTTTCCCACCTGTGTTAACCTAGTTCTGTTCTCTTCTTTTGAAAGTTCAGCATATTATTGTAATTATTGTATCTTTCTTTTTTATTTATTTCTTTGTTTATTTTTAGCTCCTGCTTATAAGTGAGGACAGGCAGTATTCCTCTTTCTGTGCCTGGCTTATTTCACTTAACATAATTTTCTCCAAGTTCATCCACGTTGCTGTGAATGGCAGTATTTCATTCTTTTTTATGGCAGAGTAGTATTCCATTGTAGAAATATGCAGCTATTTAAAAGCATGCTTTTGATCTAGGGATGTAAATGAAACACAAAAAATATGTAACAGGAAAAATTTTAAATCTGTTCATATTGATTTCATCATGATCCATTTACGAGTCAAGACTCACAGGTGGAAAACACTGCTCTGAAGGGGAATCTTTGGCTTTCTTGCAGTTGTGCTTGCAGGCTTTGAGTCTGGGGTTGGGGAGGCAGAGCCCAGCCACTCATGGTCAGGGTTATAGAAGAAGGAAGCAACGAAGGACTCAGGCCAGGTTGCAAGGCTTCATGGAGAAGGGCACCTAGGAGTTGGGCTTTGAAAGGTGAATAGGAGTTCGTCAAGTGGGGAAGGAGTCCAGGAAAGGTAAGCAGAAGAGGGAAAAAGGATGTACTCAGTTCTGGAAGTAGAAGAGAAGCTGGTCATACTGGGAAAGAGAAAAGAATGTTCTTGTGGCTAGAATGTGGAGATAAAAACTCAACACTGAGTGTTTGAAATTTATCCTGTGTTCATTGATGGACTCACTCATTCACTCAACCAAAATGCTGTAAACCAACCCATGCTAGGTGATCCTGGGATTCCAGAGCAGCTCAGCGCTTCCAAGCTATGGGAAGTCCAGGATTTGA